GAGCCTCCCCCAATGACCTTGACCTTGACATATGTTGTCAAGGTCATGACCCTGAGTGACCTTGAGGAAGTTTTAACCGTCGGACCTAACTCGTTAAAAAGTTATTAACAAAAAAAGTTTCAAAATTAACGTATTATTTCTGCTATACATGTATAATATGAAGTCCTATTCTACACCTTTCCCTGTTCAGAAACGTTGAACTTTCCACGCGAAGTAACTTTTACCCCCCCCCCCTGCACAGAGGCACACGACTTCTACGATTGTACTATTGCTGTGATTGTACTGTCGGGGAGATCTCTGTGACGGTGTGGCCAAATATAAAATAAATGTAGTAAAATTATTTATAATAAAACAAATGTCGTTAAGAGTCTGTTTAGTTCTTTTTTCTAATATTTAAAGCCCTAATGAAGATCGAAACGTTTGTTTATTACATGGCAAAATTGTTTTAATAGTAACGCGAACACCTAACTTCGGCTCATAGCCTCACTTTTTATACCAATTTATACATATATGATTCTAATTAAGCTCTCCTTGTATTAATTTTATTCAAAATACTAATATAATGAAATAAGGGCAATGAGCCAATTTTCATTAAAATCTTTAAATCAATCTAATATATTGCGAAGAATATCACGTAATTATGGCGTTTCGTCCCAACTTCCACTACTGGACTCATCAGTAAGGCATTGTAGTGGAAGCCTACCTTAGACGCCTGTTTTAGTTATTAAATCGAGATTCTATATATACAGATATACGCGTATCAAAGCACTTGCGAGAATCTTAGCGAATATCTATAGACCTCTGATGGCGGGTCGACGTAGTAATATTCTTCGCAATATATTATTCAAAGTAATATATGTATATGTATTCCCTTCCCACCCGCCCCAAAATTTTAACAAAATTTTATTCAAAATGTTGTTAAAATTATTATTATTTACTTACCTCGCTAGATTCTCTGTTATCCTGCATTTTGAATTTTCGCTGGTCGTCGCATATTCAATGTAATATCTCATAGTTCCATAAATCGAACTATCCGATATCATATCTGAATATCGAGAAAGCGCTCTGTTTTCAACTATACTGATGGGAATGGGGGCAATATCTAGATATGCATATCTCCGTGAGATCGCAGCTTTAAACACAATAGGCGATAGGAACAGGGAATAGAAAATAAGAGCTATCCAATCAGAGCTCAGGATATAAATGCGATACATAACCAAAGATATAGAGAATGGACTGCGCGATCCCGTATCTAATAGCGTTTTCTCTTGGCTGCACCAGTGTAGGGTGATTGCACCAGTTCATCTTTTTTCCTTTTCCCTTCTCCTGGAAAGAAAAAGAAGAAGATGAACTAGTGCAAAAGTTCAGCTGAGTGTTGCACTGGTGCAGCCAAGAGAAAACGCTATTAGTAATATCAAAATGTGGTCGATGAAAATGAGAGAGAGGATCGGTGGAAGACGCATATATGTAATACTACTATATTGCTAACGACAATTAAGAGCTACCGCAAACATCACGGTGCAGTCTATCGCTTCTCACTTCCACAATTGTGTACTTTCGCATTGCGCAAGCGCGTGTTCCTAACCTTTTTCATCATATACGTATTCAATAGAGAAGTTGAGTACACGAATTGTGGAAGCGAGAAGTCGATTTTCTGTCTCACTATGTTGGCGCACTCTAAAAAAAAGGCTGCGTTAGCAATATAGTAGTATTACATATATGGGAAAACGGCCATCTCTATCTTTTTCCATTCGATGGTGTGTAGCGGACTGGTATGAGGAATTGTTAAGGGCGACAAAGATGATGTAGATTTTGCAATAACAAACTACTAATTTATTAATACTGTAATATCACAAAGTCTTAGCGTAACGTGAAACTAGAGACCCTATACCAGAGTCTGGACACAAGAGAGACAATTTCTGATTGGTCCGTCGTTTGTGGCAACTCCCGCTCTAATTCAAACGTCGATAACCTTATAAATTCATATAGTATAGAAATGTATACATAAACTTTTAGAACATTTTTATTTTTTTTAACGAATATTAACTAACTTCACAAAAAAGTGAATTGTTTGTCGGTACCCGCAATCTTCTCGGTTAACATTTTTTACCCATATAACTCATCGTTCAGGATTTTTAGGAAATCTTTTCATTGCATATCCTTTGACAGCTGAATTATTACAATACGGAGCAGCGCAGCCACCTATTTTTACTATAAATATTTATTTAATGTTATTATTTTTAATATTTAATACATCGACATCGATGATTTAATATTTTTTACGCTGTTAACTTAAATGAAAGAGAATATACAAATATATACATTACATTAAGGTTAGAATTAATAGACGAAGATAGTGTATATATATATCTTTCTCTCTCGTAGCATTTTGCCACAATCGCGCTCGTGTCCAGACTCTGGTATAGGGTCTCTACGTGAAACATAGTTCTTGTTAGCGAAAGTATAATCGAAGTGAGAGGGCCATGCGACAGGCCATTTTTCATGTGTGCTCCACGCCATCTGGTGGCCTAGTGTCTTTGCGTGTATATCGCCACATGTACTCCCCTCCGAGAGTCTATGGGCGAATAGGCGCGAATTGCACTTTCTTCGGTTTAACATGTATTTTTCTTGGAGCATTGTGTTCCACAGCCATGCCTTTTATTGTTCCTTCCTCGGGTGATTCCGGTGCAACTTCTGCGTTAGGTAGAAAGGCGGGCTTCAGTCTTTCAGTTGATAAGGCTACGTCTCTGCCATTTATGTGAATGACATATACGTGTTCGTTCTCTCTGCGCACTACTTCATGTGGTCCGATGTAAGGATGTTGGAGTGATTTCCGGACGCCATCTTCTCTAACAGAAACATGTGTGGCCTGCTCTAATTGCTGTTGACGGAAGGTTGTTCGTTTTCCATGGTGGTGGGTAGGTTGTGGACTGAGTTGCTGAATGCGTTTGCGAAGCGCTATGATGAAGGTCTTTGTGTCTTCTGTAGGGTCTCTGTTTTCTAGAAATTCTCCAGGTACTCTCAGTGGCGCGCCGTAGATTAGTTCTGCTGGAGAGCATTTAAGATCCTCTTTAAGGCATGTGCGTAGGCCCAGAAGTACTATAGGCAGAAGGTCGAGCCATTGTCTTCCATCTTCATGGCAGGTTATAGAGGTTTTAAGAGTGCGGTGCCATCTCTCGATTATGCCATTTGACGCTGGGTGATAAGGAGACGTTCTGGTCTGCTTACTGCCCAGGAATTTCGAGAGTGCTTGGAAAAGGCTAACCTCAAATTGTTTGCCTTGATCGGTGGTGATGACGGCAGGCGTGCCAAAATGTGATACCCAACCGTCCATGAATGCTGCTGCAACGGTTTGTGCGGTAATGTTGGGGAGTGGAATGACTTCCGGCCATCTGGAAAAGCAATCAATGATGGTTAGACAGTACTTATATCCCCTTACCTCTGGCAGAGGGCCAATGAGATCCAGGTGGACTTGATGGAAACGCTGGTCTGGCGTCGGAATCTTTTTGGGTAAATTTCTGATATATCGTTGAATTTTGCTGCGCTGACATTGAAGACAGGTACGTGCCCAATGAGTGATGTCTTTATTAATTCCTGGCCAAACGAATTTTTGTCCGATTTGCTGTCTGGTAGCTCTTCCGCTGGGGTGTGCCATTCCATGTACGACGTCGAAGATTCATTTTCTTAGAGTTCCTGGAACGTAAGGTCGTATCGCGCCCTTTGAGCAATCACAATAAAGTGGTGTGGTTGAGCCAGGTAGTGTAAATTTTTTTAGTTCTAATACTGATCTTCCTTTCAAAAGTTCTTGTAGCTTCTTGTCTTTCTCTTGCTCTGTGGCGAGTTCTTCTGTAGTGGTTATTACTAGCACTTGAATGGCGTCGATGCGTGATAACGTGTCGGGAACGACATTATCTTGTCCAGCGATATGTATTATGTTAGTGGTAAATTGAGCGATTAAATCTAGCTGTAGAGCTTGCCGAGGTGATGCTTTGTCTAATCGCTGTTCAAATGCATGCGTTATTGGTTTGTGATTGGTTTTAATAGTAACTGTGCGACCTTGAAGAATGTCCTTGAAGAACTTGATGCTTTCATAGATCGCTAAAAGTTCTCGATCTTAAGTGCTATATTTCCTTTGAGTTCCGCTAAATTTTTTTGAAAAGAATGCTATAGGTGACAATTGATTGTTGCTCACCTGCTCCATTGAGGCTCCGATAGCGGTATCTGATGCGTCAGTGGAGAGTAGTAGCGTTGCGCCTTCAATCGGATGTGCTAGAAGCGTGGCGTTTGCGAGTTCTGCCTTGCAGGCTTCGAAAGCGGCTATAGTTTCTTGGTTCCAAGGAACTGGTCGTTTATCGTTCTTTTTACTGTCTTTCAGGAGCTCATTTAGTGGTCTTTGATTTTTAGCTGCACGTTTTAGATGTCGACGATAATAATTTAACATGCCGAGGAACCTACGAAGTTGTATTATCGTGTTAGGTTGTTTAAAGTTTGTAATTGCTGTTACCTTATCTGCGCGAGGTTTGATGCCTTCGCTGTTGATCTCGTGACCGAGGAATTCTATATTGCTTTGCCCGAAATTGCACTTAGCAGATTGATCGTGATGCCTGCTTCCTGTAATCGTTGAAAAACTTGCCGCAGGTCTTTCTTATGTTGCTTCTCGTCTGTTGAGGCTATGAGCACGTCATCTACATAAACAAAGCAACATTCTAAATCTTGTAAAACCTGATTCATTAACCTTTGAAAGGTTTGAACTGCATTGCGTAAGCCGAAGGGCATGGTTACGAATTCAAAAAGGCCGAAGGGCGTAGTAACTGCAGTCTTCGGAATATCTTCTTCGAGAACTGGTACCTTGTGGTATGCTTTGACTAAATCAAGCGTGGTGAATATGCGTTTATTGTGTAAATGGTTGGCGAGGTCGTGAATGTGAGGTAGCGGGTACCTGTCTGGGGTTGTCACTGCGTTTAGTCCTCGGTAATCGCCGCATGGTCTCCATAATCCTGGTTGTTTTTTTGGTACCAGGTGTAGTGGTGCTACCCAAGGGCTGTTGGAAGGTCGGCAAATGCCGAGCTGTACCAAATGTGTGAATTCTGCCTTCGCGGTTTTCAGCTTGTCTGGAGGTAGTCGTCGTGGACGGCTAGCGACTGGGGGTCTCTTTGTTTGAATGTGATGGAAGATGCCATGTGCTCTTTTTGCTGGTAGCTGCGGTTTCTTGGTGATTGACGGGTAGTCCGCCAGGATGCGGTGGTACGTTAAGGTGCAATTTATGGTTTTGACGGAAGCGTGCGCAATCTGTCGCTTGGAACCTAGAATATTTAATTTTCTTAATTTGTCAACAAGGCGCTCGCCTTGTATGTCCACAATAAAGCTGTAGTGGTTGAACAGATCTGCTCCTATGACCGGGCGAGAGACGTCGGCAACCGTGAATTTCCATGTTATCGGCCTACGAATACCCAAGTTCAAAGTAAGTATTTTGTGTCCGTATGTGTTGACTCGTGAGCCGTTTACTGCATACAGCATGAATGGCGTCGGTAAGGCTGTTTTCTTTATTTCCGTTGCCGGTAAGAGTGAGATATCCGCGCCCGTGTCGATGAGAAAAGTGAGGTTGGTTGCTCTATCGGTAACGTGGAGCCGGGGTGATATCTCGAAACCGTCGTAGGCGGCTCCGACAGACGGCGGTCCTACTCGTTTCCCTGTATTGCCTTCGTCTGGGCACTGCAGGGTGGCGTGCACTTGAGTGCCTGGTCGCCGAATCTTTGGAGGTAGTAACATTGACCTGTTTCTTTGTTTACAGCGTGGTGTGTTTTGCTTGGTAGTCGAGCGTGGCTCCTACTGCGGCTCCTTGTCCTGGACTGTTTAGTTATTTTTTTACCTGCATTGTCAACGCCGCTACCTGGTCAATCAGTTGTTGAATGGTATCTTGCTGAGTTGGTGGGGTCGCCTGTACGGCGTGGACGTCCACCGACATGGGAAGTTCATTAAGTTTATCTGCGCATTTCGCCAGTTTGTCTAGGTTAACGCCATCGAATATTAGAAGCATCTCCTGCATGCGAGCTGGCATGCGTTGTTGCCAGAGAGTTCGCATGAGGCCTTCGGTGATGTTCTGTCCTGCTAGGGCTCTCATTTCACGAAGCAGTTGTAACGGTTTCTTGTCGCCAAGCTCGATGCCCATTAAAAGCGTCCGCATTTGTTTCTCTTGCGAATCTGAAGATCTTGCGATTAAGTTTTCTTTAAGCCTATTGTACTTATCGTTCTCAGGGGGGCTCTTAAGGAGCCAATGTCCGTGACTGCGATCATCGTGGCCTCGTCGAGGTTACGAATGACTGCGCTGTATTTGGCCTCATCGGACCTGGGTATCGATTATGAAACTTTTTCCCTAGGATGAAAAGTGAAAAGTGAAATTTTTTACTATTGAAGTTAATGGAAAAATTTTTCACTTTTCATCCTAGGGAAAAAGTTTCATAATCGATACCCTGATGCGGTAGGTACTGAATTCGGGCTCTAATTGAACGAACCATAGTTTCGGACAATTTTTCCAAAAGGTGGGAAGTCGAACAAATTTGAATTCTGTGCCGAACTCCTCGTGTCGGGGTATCTGATTCAGCGTGTTTCCATCCTTGGATGTAGTATGTTGCGCATTTTCTTCCGTTGTGGTGGTGATTATGGGAGTGAGCGGCGGTGTTCTTGGCAAGGACATGACGGCGATCTCGTCGGTTATCACGCCGGTTATCAAGTCGACTATCACGTCGACTATCACGTCGGCTATCACGTCGACTATCACGTCGAGGTCACCAATTATGTAGCGGACTGGTATGAGGAATTGTTAAGGGCGACAAAGATAATGTAGAATTTGCAATAACAAACTACTAATTTATTAATACTGTAATATCACAAAGTCTTAGCGTAACGTGAAACGTGGTTCTTGTTAGCGAAAGTATAATCGAAGTGAGAGGGCCATGCGACAGGCCATTTTTCATGTGTGCTCCGCGCCATCTGGTGGCCTAGTGTCTTTGTGTGTATATCGCTTCATGTGTATATCGCCACAGGTGTAATGGAAGAGAGAATGAGAGAGAGATGGCCGTCTTCCTTCTTTTTCGTCCTTATTGATTATTTTGACACACGAACACGGATCGCGCAATCCATTCTCTATTGGCTCCAGCACACTGGACGCGGAAACACTTGCCGCGCGGCAAAATGTGACACGGTAGCCAATGAACTTACAGCTCCTAACATGTTCATTGGGCACATTCAGTTTTAGATTCTTTTTAGATCATCCAATTAAAATTTTAGATCTTGAAGAATACACCAATAACAGCGAGCGCTCACTCAACTGTTGAGTCCGCTGAACGCGCCCATTGGATACCGTGCCACATTTTGCCGCGCGGTAAGCGTTTCCACGTCCAGTGTGCTGGAGATCTATTCTTGAAAAGAAACGTATATGAAAGTTTAAGGAAATACTACAGTATATGAGCCGTTCGCTATAAGAACCACTTAAGTCGAAAAAAGTTGATTTTATGTGTTTAATTGCAATTTTTTAACATCCTTTTTGTATGGAAACCTGAAAAAACACGAAAACTTGGAAAAATGATTTTTATTCCTTGATGTATAGCCAATTAAAATAAAAAATTCATTTTTATTAACATTTTAATAAAAAATCATAATTTGTGAACATGTGGAGAAAAAAATCCGAAAAAATCAAGTAAGTGTACTGAGATGTATACCATAGCCAAAAAAATATTTATCAAAATTAAAAATAACGGGGCGTTTTTATTGCTAAAACTATGATGTTTTTAGCTGTAAAACTGCTACAAATTTTGTCGATCGCCGAGAAAACCACTTAAGTCATTTTTAAATAATTAAAGATATTGAAACAAAAATAGCAACTTAATATTTTTTCTATGCTAATAACTTACTACAAGATAGTTATATTTCTGTAGAAAATAATGAAAAAATTCAGTTGCTAATATTTAATAAGATATGTAACTGAACAGAAAAAATAAACTTAAATCGACTTAAGTGGTTCTTATAGCGAACGGCTCATATGTTACGTATACTATAGTATTTTCCTAGTTTTTTGTATACGTTTCTTTTCAAGAATAGAGCCCTTGGAACCAATAAGTCTTTGTGCAATATTACCGAATCAAACACTCTGCACTGGAAAAATTTATACTCAGGGTTAGAGACCTAGAAAACAGAGATGCGTCATTGAAGGGTATGGCTTGATTGGCTGTCTAAATCACGTGATCAGAGAGCCATTTTAATTCACTATTGCATCTAATAGATATAGTTTTATAACGTATGTACATATATATATAGAGAAAAATTTAGACAATACAGTGTCGAAGTGCAATAAAAAACTATTATTATGGTGTAAGTATTCTTATTTGTGTGAATATTTAATATCGGACTTAACCTAACCTTGCGACCGGGCATGAGCACATGCACGTCCGCCCCTTCGGATTCCTTCTCTTGCCCCAGCGGGGGCATTAGTGTGTAAGCCGCATGAGGGCACTTTATTATTATTATCACTAATATAAGCCGCATAATGGCAATCCATTATTATTATTAGTTATTTTAGCTGCATAATGGCATTCATGTTATCATTTGTTAGTTTATTATAGTTTAGGCGATATGCCGA